CGACCCCCCCCCCCGGGCAAGCCTCTTTCCCAGGTATTTAGAGGCTTTCCAAGGTACTCAGCACTCTCTGCCAGCTATGGACATGTATTTTGGGGAGTCAGGCTTCCAGAATGAGTTGCTGGACACCTCCCCTTCTGTGATGTGGTGAGGGGCTCAGCCCTCGGTCCAGGGTTGATCTAAGGCATGACCCGAGCATCCCTTGCCCCATAGGAGTCTGCAGTGTTGCATGAAAAGCAAACCCCTCTTGCAGCAGAGGTGCATTGCCTGTCTTTCGTGAAAGCTACACGTGCAACTGCTCCTCTTTTCCTCTTCTTTTCAGGAAGCAAAAATGCTGCTGCAGCGTCATAAGCTGGAGTCCCACCTCTTGCAGGTGGCTGCGGCCGGCCTCGGATACACCTACACGGAGCCGGTAATGCCTGGGTTGGCCGTGGCAAGGAGCTTTGGGAGTTCACAGCTATAGGACCCGCTTCCCCCTCTCTCTCTCCTATAGAGCGAGTCCCGTGTAGGTGACTGAGGAGCTGGGTCTTGGGCTGGTTTGTTCCTTATGGGAGAATGGTGATGGCAGAGCAAGGAAGGCAGCTGTTCCTGGCGTGAAGGAGAAGCAGATGCAGCTTGGTCCAGCTGTCCTGCCATGATGTCTGGCTGTGTCCCAGCCACTGCCGTGGTGATAGGGTGGGACAGAGAAGGCTGGGAAGCCGGCCTCCCTCGGTACTCATCACCCGATGCCAGTTTGGGTTGGGGTTACATTGTCAATTGGGTGAGCCCAGACAGTTGCCCAAAGTCGTGTGGGATGGATCCATACCGGAGAGGCTGGCTGATGTCCCCAGGTGCGAGGCTGAGCAGGTAGCTCCCTGCCTTCAGCTGGAGCATTAAATTAAGATGCACGACCTCTCTTCTTTTCCTGCAGAACTACTGGAACAGGTACGGCGCCCGACAGGATGAGCACAGGTGAGCCCATGGATTCCCCAGTCCCTGCACTGGGGTGAAGGGGATGTGCCCGTGATGGGGTTCCAGCCTGCCACTCGGGGGGTGCTGCCCATCCACCCCAGCACTCCATCGTGGTTGAATTAGGGCTTGTTGCCCCTTGCCATTACAAACATTCCCACAAGCACATTATTTTAGCTGGGTGCCTCAAAACCAGCGTTGGTCTGGAGGGAATTTGGTTGATGAGGCGAGGGGTGCTGCTCAGGTTTGTTGGTGTCTGGGCTTTGCTGGTGGAAACTGTTGTTCCCATCAGCAGATGAACACAACTTGCCATAAGATGGTGAGGGATTCTACTTGTATGGTTCTGACATTTGCACAAAGTACCGATTTGCCCATATTTTTTCATGTATTGGTTTCCGAAGGGTGCAAACCAGCCCAGTTCCCACAACTGGCGACCTGTGGCCAAAGTCATGATGTTGTTCTTCTCTCTTGCTCCTCAGTGTCCCATCAAGTATTAGCAGTGAACCAGAGGATGGGCCCCGGCTGTCCCTGGCGAAGAAACCCATGCCGAAACCAGATCGAGAGCTGAAGGAGGGTAAGTCTGATGAAGGCATTTCGACAAAATCAGAAAGTTTTTTCCTATTGCTGGAGACTGCAGACTGCAAAGGCTGGCTGCTGAGCAATCAGGGCCAATCCTATCTGAGGGGCTTGAAGTTTTCTTTGAGAGACAGAGAAGTCTTGGATGCTGCCACAACATTTCTGGGTCTGTGGTCCCCACCAGCGCTGCTCTGCTCCTGGACTTGCTTTTCCCACCTGCTGAGCTGCTCAGTACAGAGCCCTGAGATGTGTGGCTGGGTCCTCCTCGCCGTGGGGAAGGTGGCACCAGCAAATGACAATCTTTCCCCCAGGTGCTTTTAAGATTAAAACGTTCCCCGTTGTCCAGGCTGCAGAAGGATGGATGCTGGAGGCATTAGGTTTTGGGGACTCCAGTCCTGATGCTTTGCTGAATGTGCTGGCTCACACCGTATTAACAACCGTCTGTGTGCAGACTGGCTTGTGTTTTCATGGCTTACATCAGGTCACTTGGTTTGAAGGTCTGGCCGCAGACATTTCAGCACATTTTTGGCAACCACAGAAGAAAGTACCATAACATCTACTAAAGATAAGATTTTCCCCATAACAATTTTGAAAAACTACCTTATAGCCAAATGCCAAAGCATGCTCCTTGCTGCAAAAAAAAAGGGATCTCAAGGCAGGAGCTGGCTTGTGTCTCTTGTGGGCCAGCTCCACAGCAGCTGGCAGTTAAACCTCCCTGTAATGCAATGGATGGTTGTGCTTTCGGGGGAATTTTGCAGCTTTCCACAGCCCAAGTTTTCTGCAGCTCCTCGGGCTTATGTTCAGAGTATTGTTATCCTTTCTCTAACCATACATAAAATAGGCGAATACCACAGGAAGATCCTAAAGAGTTTGCTTAAGCAAAGAGCTCGTTGCTTTCTATTTGTTGGGCTGTTTGCCTTCTATAACCAAATAATTTCAGAGTGCATCTTTTTTTTGTGTTTTTTCTTCTATTTATGCTTTTATTCTGGTTTAGTTGCAGAAAGTTTTCAAGTTTACAAAGAAAACTGAAACCGTTCAAAAAGAAAATGGGATTTTTGTCCATCCAGCTGCTTCATTTCTCTGTTGTCTTTTTTTTTCTTTCTCTCTTTTAACTTGCAAAAAGAAAAGGCCAAAAGAGAAAAAGAAAAGTCACTTTTAATTTTGTACTCCTCTTCTGTACTTCTCTCCTTCCCCTGTTCCTCCTTTCTGCCAATTCTTTTACTCCCAAAAGTCCAAAAAATTCCCCACTAGTCGTGTCACTAGTCGTGGGCTAGTGGCAGGGCTCTGCCCTCAGGGTTACATGCCCTCCATAAGCCAAGGAGACCTTTGAAAAACACACAATGTGCCTCAACGGACAGGAAAAGCAGTAATTAGAAAAGCAGTGTAATAGAGAAGTTTCCTTGTGCCACATGGTGAGAGGAGCTCTGTGACAACGGATAATTTTTCCCACGATTTAGAAGCATTTCACCTTCTTCCTGGAAGATCATCTGGTTTAGTTTTTTTATTGTTATTGCCATTTCTTTCATTTGCTCTCATCAAGGAGATGAGGAGAATTAGGCTTCAGAAGGTGGTGATTTAGTGCCCTCCCTGTGTTTTTCTGATCAGGAAAATTTGATGGGGATGGATCCAAATTTCTTGTAAAGAGCTCATCTCTCCTCATTGCCCATTTGCTGAGCACATGGCAAGGCTCAGTCACCCCATAGCAGGCGGAGGGTCAGCACTGTGCAAACCCAGCCATGGTTATATTCTCATCCAAGGGATGCCACCTGGGACCTCCGCAATGCAGCCAAGCCGTGGGCTTTTGGCAGGCAGAGGAGGCAGCTCAGAGGAGGGGAGCAAGGGATCTCAAGGATGACCGTGGCAGCTCTTTAGCCTCTGTGGAAGGGGATTGTCCTTGGGGTCCTCCAGCTCACCCCCTCCCAGCCCTGCTTCTTGGTGGGGCACAAGCGATGCTCACTGCAAGCTCAGCATGGCGTTAGGTTTTTGATGTGTGTAAAAGACAAAAAAACCCACTGATGACAATTGCAGAGAGCAGCTTCACATGCCGAGCTGTCAAGATCCACGCAGCACAAATGCAGTGGAAACTTAGGGCTCCCGTGAGTGCTGGCTGCTGGTGAGGAGAGCCAGGTTAGCTGGTGTCCATCTCTCATCGTGTCCCATCGGGTCTTGGCGGTTTCAGGCTGTGGTCCCTGTGTTTGCGAGGTGGCTGATGAGAAGGTGGAAAATGCTGACTGTCTTGCAGAAAATTGATTTCATCTCCAGGTGTTTCCGTTGCTTCTGTTTCTTTTGTTGGTGGTGTGAAGCCAAAGTCTGTTCTATGAAG